GTTGGTTTCTTAACAGTTTCACAACAGCATCTTATGTTTACAAATGCAATCTCTCAAGCCAAAGCCAATTTCCCCAGGTCAAAATGAAAATGAAATCACAGTAGTAGAGGTAGTAGTGAAGAAGGGATCTGGGTTGCAGGGGGACCCATGAACTAAGAATAAGCCTTTATCAGAAGATGCCGAATCTACAGAGCCTAGGAGGAAGAACAAACATGTTGAAAATTAAATATGAAATGGGTAATTATGTAGTAATGAGACTGAGGACATTACAAAGGACACTGTCATTTAAACCACCACATCTCAACACAGTAATGAACGGGAAAAACCCTCCAGCTTCGTAATTATAATCATAGTTGCCATAACAACTTAGTATCTCTTTCTGTGAGCATCTATCTCAAGACTATATTTTTAGCAACGACTGTGCCTGAGCATGTATTTCTCTTTATATAGCAGCTAATTTTTCAAATTACTGATCTTAAAAAAAAAAACAAACCCACAATTCCATCTTCATTCTCTCTGAGTGTAAAAGTCTCCGGGATAATTAGGGAAATGAGCAGGTGTGAAAGTCCGTTATGAAAAATGCTATAAAAGTATTGATGTCTTGACAACATTGGTTTCAACAGAATGTTCTCTGGACCTGTACACTCTATTGTTCCTTGTCAAGCAGCTTAACATAAATCTTTGCTGTTCAGCTCATAAATATTTGAAAAATTATTAGCTCTGTAAGGTGTTTGAGGATTATTTGACAAGTACAGATTTATGTTTTGTAACAGAAATTGGCTTAATGGAATCCTGAGTCTCAGGAACGAATGAATGAGTAAATAAACACGGGCTTAACTTGCTTAACAGAAATGCCCATAACAGATTCCCAACTGAAGGAAACAATGGGTTGACTTTAAAGGACATCATTTTAAAAAGTCAGAAAAACCAGGAGGGATCCTGAGCTGCCATTTTGGTTTCTAAGTTTGTCCCCAGCTGCTACGCCCAGCTGGAAGGTTTGGTTTTATAGCATGGCAAACGTCCAATAAAAGTGAACACTTTACCAAGCTCCACTTACACCCTCGGGAAATGCCAAAAGCCCCATGTTAGGATCCCAGACTTGAGCTAAATAAACAAATTATTAAGTTGAGAACAAAAAGATCTCAGAAAGCAGCAATCTTTGACGATGCTACAAAAAACCCTTAGCCAAGATTAAGCATGCAACAAGAATTTATTGAGAAGTTTCTGTCTTTCTCGTACTCTCTTATTTCTGTGGAGGATGTAAAATTAGCAGGTTAGAATAATTGCTGGTTTATAAAGAGCTTATAAACACCGTGTGAGGGGAAATGAAGAGTATGCCTTATTGTTTGGGGCCATGGGTGAACCAGGAGAGCCAAGTGTGGGTGAGCAGGTGAACCTGAATCCTACGCGGAGGGATTACGTGGGATTGGTAAGCAGCCTGTGCTTCAGTAGGACAGCAACATTATAAAATGGGTGTCTTAGGGAGAAAGCTCGGTAGCTTCTCCTGTGGGGCGGACAGCAAGTCATAGAGGCCAAGGCAAGGAGGCCTGCTGAGCACGTGTTCCAACAATCTGGCCTGGGGCTCTGAACAATGGGAACATTGTTCCCATTGCCGGAGGGAACGGAGGAAGAGGTGAATTCAAGAAGATGTGCCACAAGAAGCACTAGGACTTCCTGAGGTGTCAGATGCAGTAGAAAGTAAAGCATAAATGGGACAAAGTGTTGATCTGGGGGGCTGAAGGATGAGCAGAGCCTCCGGGGCAGATGGTGGCTGGGTTGAGAAGCAGGATGAGGCTTGAGAATGAAGAGCATGAGTAAGCTTGGCCATCCTGTCTTTCTAAACTTCATGAACGCTGGCTGTGCCCAGCCCATTTCCAGGCAAGCAGCCCCAGAGGGAGGGAATCGGAGGGAGACAAGGCAGCTCCAGGAGCCTTGCAGGAGGCTGCTAATGTGTTGGGAGAATTGGCGTCGATGCAATCAATTCTTGTTCTCTTTGTTCTGCTTGCTTTAATTATGTGTCTCTCTGTGAAAAACAAGCAAGCCATACGAGGGAGAGCTGTGATTAGTGGGATTTGTTTCCTGATTTTAGGGATGTGTTGAGACTCACGTTTGAGTGGGGGCATTCTCTGAACATTTACCAGACACTGCAGGGTAGGTGTATGTTATTTTATTTGCCTAAGAGGTGCCAGGAAAGTAAAATGTTTTTAGAACTTATGCGTTTGGGGTTACCAAGATTCATACTGCCTGACTTTAATTATTGGATAAATGTTAGTCTTGGCTATAGTCTGCTATGTGTCCTTGGGAGAGTCTGGGCTTCAGTTTCCTCCTCTGTAAAATGGGAGAGAGAAGGTCAGTCTCAGGTTTTAACTGTATCAGAATGAGTTGTGGAAGTCCGGGGTGGGGCCCTTGCACCTGCGTGTTTAGCAGGCTCTGGGGGCTCCGATGGAGGTGGTGCACGGTGCCACCCTGTCTGGATGGGCTCTCGGCCCCTTCTGGTCAGGATTCTAGGCGATCCTCTTGCTTGCGCTTCGTGCAGCTGCGACTCCTGAGTGCACTACTTGCCGCAGCCCTGTTTTGTTGTCAGGAGGGCCCGGCTTCAGATAAAAGAGCCCCGCAAGGTTGAGCCCTGGGGATACATCATGGGCAAGGGTGGGCGAGGATCCACAGGGGGTCATGAACCGGGCCCAGAGCAGGCCTACGTGGAGAGTGGAGGGAGCGGAAGGGGACCCTGCTCCTCTGTCACTCTGGAGACCTCTGCTGGCTCTGGATTCCAGAATATCCGGCAGATGTGGGGGCTGTTGATAGGCCCAAGGCTTCCTGGCCCTTGGAGACAGGGCAGGGCCCTGCCTCAGCCTGTAGCCTCCTGTTCTCACTCTGACCATACTCTTTGGTCCGCGGCCTGGGACCTCAGAAGACCTGCGCTAACGGATGGCCTGGTTGGCCGCCTGCTGGAGGACAATGAGAGAAAACGAGGTGGTGAATGGAGAGGCCGGTGGTAAAGGATGGCAGCTGGCCCGGCCCAAGCCCTGCCCACTGTGTGGGCTCAAAAGTGAGACTCCAGGGAAATGGGGCGGCCGTGCCCTGATGCCCAGACTCAGCTCAGTGGTCTCCTGGGATATCAGAGCCCAAAGGCCTGGGAAGGGGATAGCCTGATCTAGGGTCGAGGCTCAGGGGTAGGCAGAATGGCCCCCAAAGACCTCCCTAGCCGAATGCTGGGGACCTGTGAATGGGTTACAGGGCAAAATGGATTGTAGAGATGGGACTGAAGTTACTTGAAGAGAGGGGGTTATCCTGGATGATCTGGGTGGGCCCATCTAATCACAGGAGCCCTTTCTCCAACCAGAAGGAAGGAGGTAAGATGCGGCAGAAGGGGACGTCAGCATGCCAGTGCTGGCTGAGGTGTCCGGCCCACAAACAAGGACCAGGGAGAAACTACTAGAACTCATGGAAAGCATAAGAAGGAATGCAGGCAGTCAGGCGGATTCAAGAGCGGGGTGCCGACAACCAGCAAGTACTCGGGGCCTGGGTGCTCCCATCTGGCAGAACTGAACTGGGCCAGCACCCGTCGGAGCCTGGAAGCAGGTTCTGTCCCAGAGGCTCCACTGGGGAATGCAGCCTGCTGATTTTAGCCTAGTGACACGGCTCACACTTCTAACCTGCAGAGCTGCAAGATAATAAATAGCGGTTGTTTTAAACCACTAAGTTTGCCAGAGTTTGTTATAACAGCAAGAGGAAACCAAAGCAGCCTTCGTTTCTGCGATCCCAGCCTGAAGGACCAAAACATAGTTGTTCAAGGACAGAAGGGTACTTTTTCAAAAGTGACTTGAGCTCCCTGCCTGCCCAATTAGAAAACCCTCCCGCAGGAGCCTGCTTTTTGGATGAACCGAATGACCTTTGTGACTCCATGTATGGCAGCCCTAGGGTAGCTCCGCTTTGTCTCTCTTGTCCAACAGAGTCCCTGTCTCAGGAGCTGGGGCCCTCCAGGGTCCCCAGGGCCCCCGCCCTCACGGAAACTTTACTCCTTGGAGCCCTGGGGACCCGGGGTCTCAGGAATCCCTTCTTCACAGTTCCTGAAATAGGATCATGGTCAAGTTGAGCGAAAGGTTTGTATGGTCAGTGGAGAACCGTGTCTGGTGTGGAGCCAGGGACGGAGCAGCGATCAGGAGGGCTGGAGGCTAGGCTTCGGCCCCTAACTGGCTTTAGGACATTGGGCAAATCCTTTCTCATGGCGGGCCGCGCTTCTCCAACCTGTGAACCCGCTCAAGCTTCCTTCGGGATGGAAGCTCAAAGCTTGGAGACTCTGGGGAAGCCGGCGCCCAGCAGGGCAGCTCACCCGCCGGCGTCGGGGCAGCGGGACCGGACAAGGCTTGGAGGCGGCTCATGGGATGAAGGGGGCTCCAACACCTGCCTCTGGGACCGGCCTCCGCGGGGTCCCGGCCGAGAGGGAGGGCTGACGGAAGGGCGGGGCCGGCCCCCTGCGCCCGCCCCGCGCCTCGGCGCGCCCCTGCCCGCCCCCGGCCCGGCCCAGCCCAGCCCGGCCCAGCCCCGCGGGCCGGTCACACGCGCCGCCG